AAAAAAAAAAAAAATCAGAGTGAGTTTGCTTTGGTGGTAGAGCACTGTGCTGGTCATTTTGGAGGATAGGTCTAAGGATATGTGTATGTCATTAAACTATTTAACTTCTCCGTCATAAATGAAGCTCAGTTTAACTGGATACAGGATCCTGGGCTGAAAGTTGTTTTGTTTCAGGAGATTGAAGGTCGATGACCATCCTCTTCTAGCTTGAAAAGTTTCAACAGAAAGATCTGCAGTCATTCTAATATTTTTCCCCTTGTAGGTTATGATTTTCTTACATCTGGCTGATTGCAGGATTTTCTCCTTGATATTAACTTTGATGAAGTTAGTTACATTGTGTCTAAAAGACGCTTTATTTGGGTTGAGTTGAGCTGGGTTTTCTGAAACTGTCTGCTATCTGAATTTCAGTATCTCTTGCCATGCTTGGGGGATTCTCTCAATTATCTCTTGGAGGAGAGTATCTGTGTCTTTTGGACCATCTTTTCCTTCAGGGATTCCTATGAGGTGAATGTTTGCTCTTTTGGAGTGGTCCCACAATTCTCTCGGGGAATGATTCAGTTTTGCTCTCCACTTTTCTTCTTCTTTGAGTGTTTGGGAGCATTCAAAAGCTTCGTCTTCAGTGTCAGAGATCCTTTCTTCTGCCAGCTCCATTCTGTTACTGAGGGATTTTATTATATTTCTCAGATCTTTGGGGGCTGCAAGTTCTTGCCTCAGTGTGTCAAAGTATTTGGTGATTTTGGGTTTGAATTCATTGAATTCTTGAGACAATTTTTGAATTGCATATTATTTGCAATCCAAATTCTGAATTTGATCCCTGACATCTCAGCCATTTGTTCATGAATGGGATCTTCTGTTGTGTCTCCTTTGTCATTCCTTGGGGAAGTTGATCTACTATGATTATTTGTTTTTCCACTGATTCTGCCCCATGATTATTTTTCACTGTTTGGCTGTAGAAGCTGGCAAGGTCAAATTGAATTGAGGGCTCCTGGAGTTGTAATTAACCAGCCCTTTACCAAAGGATTGGGAGTGGTGATTGCAGCTTTTCCCTAAGAGCTTTACAAAGGTCCTGTTCAGAACTACTGCCTGAAACTCTGGGCACCTTCTTGGTGTGGTGGGGTTAGATGGTGCTATCCAGTATTCAGCTAGTCTCTGTCCAATCCTAGTGAATCAGTGGCTTTGGGCTGAAATCTCAGCTATGGAGATATATAAGCAACTAAGACACACACACACACACCCCACAGGCAACAACTAGAAAGGGAGAATCCCACACTCCCACAACAATGCAACCTTGCTGGCTCCCTGGGTGATCGGCCCAGGTGAAGAGTTCCAAACCAATTTTCCCAGTTGACACAAACACCTATCAGGTGGCAGAGTTCAAAAGGTCTTCAGCATCTAGGCAGCTGGGGTCCACTGGCAGCTCAATTTGACCTCAGTGGGAGGGACTGTGGAGCTGCCACTGTCACCACTGTTGTGGGTGGTGCCGCCTGTCTGGGATACTGCTGTGTGCAGGTCACAGGAGCCAGTGGAGAGCCGGGACTTTGGCTGCAGGAGCCAGATGGGGAGCAGGGCAGAGTCTCCGGTGGTGGGCTTCTCTGTTGCAGGAGCCAGGCAGGAGTCACTGCTATGGTGCTGGTCACAGGAGCCCGCCAGGGAGCTAAGTTGCCCATTGCAGGCTGCTGTGGGGAGCCGGTGGGGCGCAGGACCTGAGCTATGCTCTTTCCAGCACAGCAAGTCTCTATCCCCTGTGACTCCTCGCCTCTATTAAAGTTATAATTTCAGTGCAACTGTCTCACAGCTCGTGTGGTGCCCAGCCCTAGCAAAAATCTGCCAAACGCTCTGGATTTTGCAGGGGGTAGTCTTCCAGAACTCCAGGAGACGGGGAAGGGGTAGATTGGGAGTTCAGGAAGGTAGGGAGAATATTAGATCAACTTTTGGCCCAGGCAAGAAACTGCCTGGGCTTGCAGTATTATGTCTCCATGGAGGGAGTCTTGGTTCTCTCCCCTTTGGTGAAACAAAAGGTCCTCTACTTGCCTTAAGCCACTCTCCTGGCGAAAGATTCCCATCCTCTTTGGGATGGGTTTGGCACCTGAAATTTGTTTCCTTGGAGTCCCAGCTTGTCACAGCAGGGGTGATGTGAACCTATCAATCCTCTCTCTCAGTTCAGCTCCCGATCTTCCTCTTTATTGGGTTATTTCTGGCCTTTATTTCTCCCTCTGGATGGGAGCCTCTGCCAAAAGCTGGCTTCATTCGGCCATCTTGCCTGCTTCCCTCCGATTGCTTCTTTGCTTGGTAGAGCAATAGTGGTTGAATTGTTTTGTGCAGATTTTGTATTGTTGAACTTAATGTGTTAATAACTATCTGTTGCTTCAAAACATATATGAGCTTCCTAATGTAATCTACCTAATGTACTATTTTTTTTTTTTTTT